ATCCCGATACAGGCAGATTTCCATGTCTTAAAAAGTTAATTTCAAAATGTAAAATTATAAAACAGTAAACAAACAACAAAAAACTGGTGCCCATTAAGAGTGTAAAACAAATTTGGAAACATAATGGAGTTGTTTCTTAGGTAACATTAAAAAATTGAAGAGCGGGATTATGAAGCGTGTGAAAAAAAATGTGTTTGTGGCTAAAACGTTTGAATAAAAAGGTGGTTAAATTACCAAAAATAGAAGAGGAAATAGAAATGACGAACACTAAAGAGCTTATCTTATTATTTATATTTTGTATGTCGGTAAGGGGTAGTAGGCCGAAAATAGAAAACAAATAAGTAGGACAATTTCCATGCTTAGCATTGCAAAATGTGAAGGCCCGGCATGGCAAGGTAATTAGGGCGCTCGACTCGCAATCTGAGGGTCGCGGGTTCGAATCCCCGTCACACCAAACATGCTCGCCCTTTCAGTCGTGGGGGCGTTATAAATTTACGGTCAATCCCACTATTCGTTGGTAAAAGTATAGCCCAAGAGTTGGCGGTGGGTGATAATGACTAGCTGCCTTCCCTCTAGTCTTACACTGTTAAATTAGGGACGGCTAGCGCAGATAGCCCTCGTGTAGCTTTGCGCGAAATTCAAAAAACAAAAACAAACAAAATGTGAAATTTATAAAGACGACACTTGACATTATACGAGCAGTACATGACGTATGGAAAAATTATTTAAATACGTATTCCTATGCAAATATTTTGCTTAAAACTCGCATAAAATACAGTCTTACAGTTTGTTACTTGTTGAGCAACCTGACTGTACTGCTTGTCATATTTACACAATACCATCTGCCTCCCATTTCGTCGAGGTCTACTCTTATTTGTCAAGGACTGCTTCTGTTTTTTTAAGACTTTGTTCCAATTTAATGTGTCTGCACAAACTCGTTCAAAAACAGGCCTAGTGAAATATCGATGTACATTCTGAAGATATTGAATGATTGAGAAGACCTTTTACGTTTCTTCTGTAACAACTGCAGGTTGATATATTCCGGAGCAGAGAAAAAAATTTGAACTTTCTAATTTACCAAAATTTTGACTGATATGTTTATTTGAGTTTGAAAAGTAGGTGATTTGTCATTAAAGCTTATTATAGTTGATTCTTTAAGCTAAGCGTATTAAAGATAACTTCAACTGGCCAGTTTTTTTCTGTTTTTTCTTGGGAGCTTTTCTGGTCACTTAATACTAGAATTAGAGCATATACTAAGTGAAACATAAAGTTCTTACAAATAACACTTTCAGCAAAACTATGCGTTTTCCAAATCATTTAATTATATGGACTATGACTAGCAACTTTGTTTGCATGTAATTGTTCCTTTTCTCTCTCTTTTTATGACACTCATTGTAGCATATTTCCAAGTCATTCGACAATAGCCAGCGAAAAGAGGCAAGAAAATAGACAAAAGGTGAGGATTGGTTTGTTTTGGATTTCGCGCAAAGCTACACGAGGGCTATCTGCGCTAGCCTTCCCTAATTTAGTAGTGAAACACTAGAGGGAAGGCAGCTAGTCATCACCACCCACCGCCAACTCTTGAGCTACTCTTTTATCAACTAATAGTGGGATTGACCGTCACATTATAACACCCCATACGGCTGAAAGGGCGAGCATGTTTAGTGAGACGGGGATTCGAATCCGCAACCCTCAGATTGTGAGTCAAGCGCCATAAACCACCTGGCCATGCCGGGCCGCAAAAAAAGGTGAAAATAAAGTGAATTAGAATGTTGAGAACAAATGGGGGTTTTTAACGCCGTATTTGATATATGGGGCAGAAAAGTCGTTCGATAAAAGAGCTTGTTTCATTTCCCCTATACTTATAATAATGGATCTTTGTTATGTGTCTAGATAAAATTCTGAGAGAAGAAATGTGGTTTCAACATTAAATAAAACCCTAATCATTGTTTTAATGTTGTTTGAAAAAATCTTTGAAAACACTCAGTTTTTCATAATCAATTACATATATCACTTTTTTTATTCGTTGCTTTGGGATAAGGAATTTTCGTTATTGATATACTGGATAACTTAACTTATTCCAAAAAGAAGGGCTTTTTGTTTGTTTTAGTGCAAACCAGCAGAGGCATTCTGTACCATATCCGTTTCGATATCAGTGGTGGGCAGAGCACAGATAGCCCATTGTATAGCTTTGTGGTTAGTTACAAACAAATAAACAAAACCATATCCGTTGCGTAATTCTGGCGTTTGAAGTCATCAACTTACCTCTAAGCCACCTAAGTACCAGAAAAAAAGAAAGGCTTTTTTTTAATATACTGGAAAAGTGCAACGAAAAGCTTTATTAATATTTTGTTATTGTTCTCTTGTAAGTTGTTGTTGTTGTTGCTTTTTAAACAAAACAGTAACTGTATTATGTGGCGTAATTTTGAAGTTGATAGTGTATAGAAATGAATATGGAGACTGCCAGAATTTAAGAGCGAGCGCTTTAATTTCGACAGTCATTTTTAGCACTTCTGGGAAGGATCTGTTTTCAGAGAGAAACAAAAGAGAAATAAATAAAGAATTGTTTATTTCAATACAACAGCCATTATCTTCATTCCTTGTGCTTGTTTTTGAAATTCGTACAAAGCTACTCGAGGGTATCTGCGCTAACCGTCCCTAACTTAGAAGTGATAGGGTAGAGAGAGAAGTCAGCTAATCAACACCATCCAAAGCCGACTCTTGTGCCACTCTTTACTAACGAATAGCTGGATTGAAAATCTATGACCACGAAATGTCTTTACAATTGCATAAAAATTATTTAACTCCCCCCCCCCCCAAGAATACCAAATACTTTATAAGAAATTGCACAGCAGTTTTATTTCTATGAACAAACAACAGCTAAAGACAATGAACAGGTAATCCAAAAACCTTCTCGTGCTGTTGTCAGAAAATTTTAAAAACAAATTAAAACAGACAGAGAAACTAGGCTTGGCATGGCCTGGTGGTTAATATACTCAATTCACAATCTGTGATTTGCGGGTTTGAATCCCATCACCGAACATATGTTCACTTTTTCAGCCGCGGGGTAGTTATTATGTGACGGAAGATATATAAAGTTTAGGTTTATATACATAAATAAAATAATAGTAAATAACATTTGAGCACTGTAATAAGCTCACACTGCACTTGTTGATGCTACTATTTTACTCACTCTCACTGCCTTGAAGAAACGTCTTCCACAATGCAGGAAAGAGAGGCGGGAAATTTCTGTTACTTACATGATGTTTAATTACGTTTTTCAACAAACTAAAAATAGTTGTACGTTTAATTGTAGACTTGCCGAGTAAATAATGAGGTTCAATGCACTTTAAAGTTTATAAAAGTGATAGATAATTCAGGTCCCTTGCTGACCTTGAAACAATCTCCACCATCGTTTCTGCTAATGAGTCAGCGGTAAGTTTACGGTCTTAGAGTGCTCAAACTCGGCAGACACAATACATTCTAATCATTATAGGTTTTAACTTTTTTGTGTATTGATTTATGAATCATGTTCTTCTTGTCGAGTTAATTTACAGAATTACCTTCTATGCGCTATTTTTAGTTCTAACCTATACAGCTTACTGTTGATCAAAAGTTATTAATAATTAGATCACACCTCCTGGCAAACTTTCCTTTACTTCACATGGACGTCGATTTACAAGACTAAAGCAAGACCAAGGACGAAAAAGTCCATTAGAGCTGCCTTCGGAAGAGGAGCGTGTGCGACAGGTAATATGTGATCAAATGGACCTGCTGCAATTCCTTTTTTTTATCATCTTTCTCATGGAAACAGTCGTTGATTTCGAAACGTGGATGGAAATTTGAAGTCATGCTTTATTATATTGTTAAAGACAACTTTGATATAAACTCAGCTTTTCATCGCAATGGTGTTGTTGACAAAAGGGTTTCTTTCGCACAGTAACCTTCACATTACATTCGATTGAGTTGTTCTAGATTAGTTTGGGTTGTAGTTTCAAGCCTTTTTCTGTCGTAAACGCTCTGATGCGCGAGATTTTCTACTTATTGGAAGAACATTAAAAGTTATATGAATATTTCTCTGGCGCCACGGACATGTTAAACACCTATATATATTAGTAGATGCTAAACGTGTCCGTGGCGCCACGCTACTGTATTAGCATATACAAATAGTTCAAATAAAGCGTCCTTAACCTTTTGTACAGGCATTCAAATATGCCAATGTTCTCATTGTTTCGAGTCATTTAGTATATATCTAACTCAAAAAATGCCCAGATTAAGTTACGAAAAAAATATCTAACCACATTAAAACGTGATTTTAAGTTGAGGTGGTTAACAGAAGGAAAAAAGTGGTGATGGTATTACAAGAAACATATAGTGTAAACATGAACATCAAAATTTTAGACGTCTCACTCTTCTTTTATTCAACGTAATCTGAAATATTTGGACCGACTAGCCTCAAAATTCTTGAAAAATTAAGATTATTTTAACAACATGTAATGATGATATTAATCTTTAAAAGTACTAAGTGAACATTTTTTAATACTTGACATCACCTATTGCTTTATTGTATACAGATTTACATCTTTGTAGTGCCTAAATATGTGAACTGTTTTCTTGTTGGTAGTATGGTAATACAGCCGACCTACCTTTTGGCACAGTTTGTAGGATTGTATATTCTTTAATAAGTGCACTATTAAAACATTCTTTTTTCAGAAATGAAAAGTATATATTTTTTTCCTTTTGTTTTTGATGAAGGTAAACAATCAAGGAGCCCATTATATTTTTAGGGCTACATCTGACTAGTAAAGGTTTGAAAATGTTTGAAACGTTAATCATGGTGTTTATTTTCAGTGAATGAAACCATTATTGAAAATTTGTGAGGTATACAAATATAACATCATATGTATCCTATAGCTGATTACCGTCACAATTTTTAGAATATATGAGATACTCAGGAAAAAAACATTTTGAGTTTAATAGAACTTTTTTCTTTTTTCCAGCTGGCTTGGAGTTTGTCAATCGTAAGCATCATGGTAAAAGGCCAGTCTTGTGGGCCACGCATGAGTGCCCGTCTTTTAACAGAAATTCCGTGTGATATGTCAAAGTCGTTATACTGCTCCAGTTCTGGAAGTGCATATCCCTGGTAAGTTCACCAAGAATTCCTAGTTCGTCAGTGTTCTAACACATTTCAAAAATAAATAAAGTCTAGCGCGTGATGACTTTAAAAATTTTACTGTAATTTCGAAATTTGAACATTAATATAAAATACAGTACCATATTAGTTACTTCAAACTTCATACTCTTGGAATTACTCCGTCACACCAAACATGCT